AAACCATAACCTATACCCTTTCCCAAAATAATAATATGCATGAATCACTTCTAGAATAGTTTTTTTATTACCATCTTTGGCATTGATAATCTTATTATCTAGTTCACGAAAATTAACTAAGCTAATATCCATATCGGAGAATGTCTGTAGAGAAATAATACTACCAGAAGAACTTTGCTGTGGAATTGGAGCGGACAATTCCTTGATAAGCTTTTTCAAAATAGGTGAATCTTCTCTTCTAACTGCTTTCTTTGCCTTCTTCTTGGGTGAAGATGAGTTGACGTTCGTACCTTCATTGGAACGTTTTTTACTGCTGGTATCAGGTTGTTCTTCGCCATCAACACTCATTTCTTCTTCCTCTTCTGATTCCATATTAGTTGATAGACATATAGGACATAGTTTTTGTGGATCATCGATACAATTGTAATGAATGATATATTTGCAGGTTAAGTATATGAGTAGTTTTAAGGGGCCTTGAAGTTGGTGAAAGAACCGAAGAAAGCCGATAGGTAGGAGACATGAAGAAAAATCTTCAGAATATTTGGCACACCTCAAATTACTTTTGACTTGTTGGGTTGCTGTATCCTCAATCCTTTCTATCTGTATAGGTTGTATCCGTATAGGTGGTGAAGATAGGACAAATATTTCACCCATCAAAGGTGAAATTCCAGTTGATTGGGAGGCCTCCTTGGGATTAGTTAATAGCAAATTGGAAACAGTGCTAAAGGGATTGGCTTGATCTAATATTTCTACATTCTTTCCACAACCCGAGAATGAACATGTGTTTAGAACAGTAAGTAAAAGCTTTTTTTTCGATACAGAGTCTATGAAAAAGGTGTCCACATACTAGGTATGTGAATGCTTTGAGAGGAGATATTAAAATATCATTGTTACATTCGGAGCATGGCCCTAGTTCTGTAATTTTTTTACCCTTAATAATGCCATCCTTGAAGGTTTTAGAAATATTATATGTGAGATTTTTTGATGTTATTAATAGGAGCAGTTAATGTGGAAGTAGAGGTAGACATATTCAAGAGTAAAATTTATGTGATTAGATTTGTATGCATTAATATAAAGTATAACCAGATAAGTATTTCACAATTTTTTTT